GAGCAAGCCGTTCATGCCAGAGTGTCAACGATGCGACTCCCTCAGCTATCGTGAAATTGCAAGACGGTCGGTCTTGTGGTATAACAACTCCACTGTCAGTGGGATGAGTCACGTGGAACCCCCACGTCGCTTCAAATGGAACGGCTACAGCAACAGTCTGACCCTCATCTTGGATCATGAAACTTCGAGTCTCACGATCATAGTCAAACTCTAATCCCTGTTCGGCCGCCAAACCGGGCGAGAGAAATCCATGCTCCGCTCCAGGTAGGTAGAAAACATCACTCAGGAACAACACTCTTTGGACCCCGTTCACTATTGTTATAAGCTGAACTGTGCCCACCCCAGCAAGTCGAGAAACAATCTCCGACGATACCCCATGCACACTCTGGGCCTGAGACGCATCTTCAGTGAAAGAGATGTAGAAGGATCGATTCCCGGTGATATGTGTGTTTGCGGCGGTATCGAAATACCACCACGCACCACCAGTATCCGTCTCCCCATCTTCCTTATCTTCCTTCTGAAGTTCGTCATCTTTATGATTATCAGAAGTATCTTCCGCTTCGAAATCATCATGATGTTCCAGTGTTCCGGGTGCCGTAGTGACCATACTGATCTCTTCACCATCGATATCACCATTATACGATCGTGTGGTAGTCCTACGTATCGTCACATTTGTTCTCGGTTTCCTCTTTTGTTCAGCTTCTCCAGGATTTGTACCACTTTGTTTCTTTCCTCGCTGTGGACAATCCACCTTGAGATGCTCAGTACTACCACAAATAAAGCACTTCTTGGGATACTTAATACTGTGCTTATATTGCTGCTGCTGATTATCCGTCTTGCCCTTCGCTTCTGTTTTGTTCGCAATGCCTTTATGTCCTCCGCGCTTTCCTCCACCGTTCTTACCATGAAATTCAACCTGTCTCGCCGAGGCTGCTCTAATCATCTCATGGAGTTTTGTAGGTGTGAATGCATCTGGATCTGCGCTGTAGCGAACTGCCGACTTCAAACTATCGAACTCTGCTTGAGAAGGAAGGCTTTCCAGCATCATCTCAACCATATCGATATCACTAACCTCATACTGTAACGTTTCCAGCTCAGTTCGAGTATTAAAAATCTTACACAAATGGAGATTGGCATCACCGCCAGGTGCCAGTTTTGAGTCCCACATTTCATTCACCAACCGGCGAGTTCTGTGCACTTTAACTGTCTTATTTGTTTTGTTCTCAAACAAATCCACCAAGGCCTGCCAAATCTCCGTTCCTGACTTCTTGTCCCGTATTTGTTGTAGGATGTCGGATGGAACCGATGTACCTACCATACGCTTAATCTGGAGCTGTTTCCGGTCAAACTCAGCTTCACCTTCGGCCGTGGTGAGTGTTGAGCGCTCCAAACTACCGTCTGCAATGTTGATCATTTCCTTCTCACAGAATACTGCTTCCATTGCCCACTTGTAGGTTCTCCAATCCTTCCCGTCCCAGTTCTTGGGTACACCATCATTGTTGTACTTGAGAGGCTTCGACATCTTGTTTTCCGAGCGAGAGAGGAAGTCAACCGCGTTGGGCTCAGAACCCTGTTGGGAATCGCACTCACTCCAAGACCACACGCTCTCAGCAAACAACAAAGAAAAAGATTGATTGATTTTTCACCTTGGCGATTTCTCGCCCTGTCCTTCTGATTCTCGCCGCCTCGCATACAACGGTCTGATACCTGCTCCATTGGTCAACTACAAGAGCCGCAGACTTACACTTCAACACTTACATTTTCACGAACTCCGTTTTGGTTCACCCCATCTTTTATGCCCTATTTTTTATTAATAGCCCTGTTTGGTGATTTTATGCAGTTAAAAAGCTCCACAAAAGAATATCGCACTTCAATTGATAGTATTAAAAGCAAGCTATTACAGCGCTGCATAAATCGATCCACATGTCATTTTTATAGTTTGCCGATCTTATGTGTGCGAAAGTGCTTGGACGCCAGCGCAACCACATCTAGCGCACACCCCCAGTGCAGTGTGTGGCCCGATCCACCGTGAGCATAGTTGTGAATCACCAAAGCACCGCCGTTTGTTGGACGAGGATCCATTTCAAGACACACGCCACCACTTCGACCAGGACGCAGACCCGCCACCGGTTCAATTCGCGTGCTGTTCCGCACCTCTGGCCACAGTTTGCAGCAACGTTCCCACACACCTTTTACATCCGCATCATCGTTCGCTACGTTCCAGCAGTGCGGCTGTACGGTTCCACCCAGCACTACATCACCGTGTGGACGTGGTATGATATAGGTGTGGTGTCCGTCACGATGAATCACAGCGACGTATTTGTCAAGCCTCGGGTTGTGGACCTAAAATGAATTGTGAGCTACTGGTAGTTTGCAGACTCAAAGACAACCTTTCTTGCCTTGATGATCTGTCCACGAATGGGATAAACCGTGTCATCCCCAGCCAAATCCCTCGCCGCCAGACCTTTATGGGTCAATAATACAATTAAAAATTATACCGTACAAAGTTAAAAAAACATCCGAAACAAAACCTACCCGAGCAATTCACGAGCAAATCGCAGTCCTCGACATTGAAGTCGTTCACGCGACGTTGCTCAAACGTTGCACCCAATTGGCGCACCTCTTTCTGGAGCCACTTCATGAACACCCTGACGAAGCCAGCAACAGTCAGTCTACAGAGTAATTTAAAATACTAAGACCTACCCAGTGTTGTAGATAATGGTTCCGAATGCAAAGCCATGCTCTGCATCCGCTGACACTTCTACTGCTTCCTCCCGACTGAGCAGCCGGAAATTCTCCACACAGTGTGCCCAGTATGGATGCACCTGCAGCAAATGCTACTATAAAATATAATAGTAATCAAGAAATTAGGGCTAAGTGAGCTCTCACCACTAGTGGGGGGCCTTCACTCGACACTTCCACTCCTTGTACAACGTGAATGCCCGCCTCCTCTCCGTGTGTTTCCATCAATTGTGTCAACCATGCGTAGCTCGCCTCGCACCACTTGCTGTTGAAGCGAAGCGATATAGTGGATTGTCGATTAGCTGGACATCGAGAATAATATCAGACTGCAGTAATTGACACACCGAGGCTTGGCAGGGTCAGCATCATCGGGTAGTGAGAAGGGCATCCAAAGACCGCCAGCTATGTGCGATGTAGTGGCTTCGAAGCTCTCAGCCACGACGCGGACGTGGCGGAAACCACTCTGCAGCAATGCCAGAGCTGAGGTAAGCCCGATTACGCCACCACCCACGACCAGAACGCGGCACTCCGCTGCGCTCTTCATCGTAAAAAAAAAACAAGAAGTGGCTACACTCTTTGTCCCAGTCTACAAATGTTACAAAAGTAAATACCAAACGCTTCTTACCCTACTGGACGATGTTTGCCACACAAAATAATATCATTTTCGAATTGGGATTGCTCCGTCAACATGGCGAATGGTACGACTCCAAGCTCTTTGGCGTCGGGTGTATGCTGTTTCCCGATCTCCTTTGCTACTAATCTGCGTAGTAACATATAGCTGATAATATCCCCTCTTCGTTGATACCACGTTTACTCTCACAGCCACGCTAGATCCGGAGCAATTCTACCTCGTGCGAGGCACCCAGAACAGTGCGTCCATGAGCAATATCCTCTCTCACTTTCGCAATAACTAATCTAATTGCTGCAACAGTCGAAGCTGATGAGGTGGACTACCGTAACCTGATGACACACTACAAACTGGAGCCGCATCTAGCCAAGATGGCCGAGACAACGCTCCCCAGCACCTACCATCACCTTCTGCGCGGCGTGGGCGAGGCGCGCGACTCGCTCACGCCCGGAGAAACGAAAGGCGACCTCTTGTCACTACTGGAAGGTGTTCCCTTTGATCGTCCCATTGAACCGCTGCCAGAGAGCGTTGTTAAGAGCGCCTTTCAGCTCCCCGCAGGCAGCAAGAGCGGCCCAGTGATGCGGCCACTAAGCAAGACGCCTGGCCTTATCCATGCGCCGCCTCCTACTGGAGCGGAAAGAGCCGCTCATACCGAGAAGCAGAAGGGCAAAGCTAGAGACGATAAAGATCGCAAGGAGAAGAAAGAGAAGAAGAAGAAGAAACGAGAACGAGAAGATGCCACTGTGCTGCAGAAGCTGCTGGCTCCTCTGGTCACAGAGCTACGTGGACTCACCTGGGCCGGGTGGGTTGTCAGTGGGAAACCCGGCAACCCGTTTATACAGAAATTCACCAAGGACAACTGCAAGAGACTAGGTGTACCCAACTACTTTGATTACGTCAAGAGCCCGATGGACTTAACCCGCATGAAGGAGAAGGTGGAGCACGCCGAGTACACGAAGATCGACCAGTTCTCGACGGATATTAAGCTCATGGCTGCGAACGCCAAGACCTTCAACCGCGTGGGGGAGCCGGTCCATCAGATGGCGATCGAGATCGAGCAGCTCTACGAGTCGAAGCTGCCAGTGTACAAAAAGATGTTCGAAGACTTGCAACAGGAGCGCAAGAAGCGCAAGAAAGACAAGAAGAAACGAAAAGAGAAGAAGAAAGAAAAGTAAGCAGGTCAGACGCAGGCAAACCCACGTTCTCTTTCGTTAAATTCCAACTCGAGGTGCAGAATTTTATTTTATCCCCAGCTCCACGCAAAAAAAACACCGGGATCCCGTGTGGGGAGCTCCAGCTTCGTAGCTGTCCTGGCTTGCCTTTCAGAAGATCGATGCGTCGAAGTGCCAGCCATGTTCCAGCAAATAGCTCAAGATGACGATGGAAGTGTTGTCTTCTCATCTTTAACTTCAACTTCAAAACGGCAAACTGCTTGTCAGCATGGAGGTTGATAATATCAACTTGATATTGACGTGTGCATGGATGGATTATTCAAGCATTCAAGTTTTGCACTACTCTTAACTTCCCAAGTAGTCTTCGTCGCTCGCCTGGTTCTTTCTACCTTTCTAGGTTTCTCACCAATAACTCACAAAATGCGAGGTGTACTGTACAGTATTCATGTGATCTTCTTTGCCTATTCCACCACGAGTTGCACTGTTTCTTCTCCGTCGTCGTCTGCCTCCCTCCGACCTCCCAATGCAGCGTCCAGCGTCGGCTTCGTGGGAAGCCACCAGCTCCACTTGTCGCGACCGAAGTATACCGTCACATTGTGTGTAAAACTGCAGTCCGCTAACTCTCCTCTCTTACTCGTTAAGAACTCGAGCGTCGTCTTGCCTTCCCGTAGTAGCCACAAGTGGAACGTAAAGTATCCAGCCAGCAGCAGTCCAACGCCCAGCGTCATTACCCACCCAAACTTGAGTAGCACTTCGTGCTGTTGAAACCTCGCTTCCCGCACCATTGGAGACACCATAACGTTGAATACACCGCAGCTCAGCGACGTGTAGAACAGGAAGAGAAGGAAGAACTTCTTGTTGTTCCAGGCAACACAATTCCCCGTCCAAGGACAGTGGTGGTCCATGCGATACACACATCGTTGGCATACCGAACAGTGGTGCACGTGGTCGGCCTTGTTTGCATCGCAGCGTTCGCAGTAGCGACTCACACGCTCGGTATCATTGATGGGCTTCCTGTTTACCGGTCGAGTCCACATGGCACGCCAATAGCTCCAGAACATAAGCACAGTGAAGATCAGGTAGAGAAAGTTGAGCACGAGACTCGAGTGCACACGGACGATCGCCACCCAAGTGTGCAGCTTGAGCAGCATGAGCCCGAGAGCCACCGAGACGAACAACTTGCTCATAATGGGGCCAAAAGGAAAACTGACGTCAAGATAGAAACGAAGTCTCCGTATTCTGTATTAGAACAGTTGAGAAATACCCTCTACAAGAACGAATGGATACATCAGTGTTGCGGTGAGTCAGGAAACTTGGTGGGTCATAGCGCGTATCCGAGTCGCATACTGGTGGTCTTCGCAATCGTTGTCTTGATCGCTAACCAGCAAATTCTCGAAACACTCAAGAAACTTCACAGGCTTCCTGAATGACGCTCGAAGTTATCAGCTGGGATGCCGTGGCATGTTGTCAGTGTAAGTCACATACTCGTTGTCTCCAAGTCACCAGTCCCAGACTGTCATTTTATCATACATCAGCACAATGCAACACAGAACAAAAGCCCTTCAAAAGTCCAGTGGCCATTGACCGATTTACCATCAACATCTCAGGTCAGCAAAAGTCCATTGGTGCGCTCACGTACTGGAAACTGTCCATCCAGACGCCTCGTTCGGTCTCGTCGCCTATTCCCTATGCGTGTGGGGCAATCATTGGAGTCGAGTGCTGCGTCGAGTTTGGTTGCTTCCGCAGTGTGCGGTCGACACGCGGACGTCGGTTCTCCTTCGATCCGCTGCGTTTGCCTCCTTGGACGTTGCTGTTCTCGTCATTCGTGCGAGGAGCACGAGGACGGCGCGGCTTGCCTCCGTTGGTGGGAGATCCAGACTTGTTGCCACTATTACTATTACTATTCTTCTCTCGCCAGCGACCTTGCCCACGACGACGCGAACTCTTCTGCGGACTGTTGTCAGACTCCTTCTTGTCATTTCCGGAGGATCCCGACGAAGCGGACGGCGACGGCGTGCGCTCACTCGTCACTCCAGCAGTAACCGCAGCGAACGAGAGCGGCGCAGCAGGAACAGACTCTGGAGATGACGTGGTCTCCTCTTGAACCTGCTCGATCTGAACGTCGCTACTCTCCACCGGCTCCTTCTCCACCTCCGGCACTTGTGCCGTCACCTCTGTCTGCTCAGCTTCCTCCTCGAGCTGAGACTCGGTGAAGAAGCTGATCTGTGGCATCGTGTTGATCTCAGCTGGCACCACAGGGACGTCCGACGTCTCCTCCGCCGCAGCTTCGTGCACGTCTTCAGCTGCCTCTTCTGCGGCCTCCTCCACTTCTTCCTCGTCCGCTTGTGGCGACGACATGTCCGCCAATTGGTCCACAAGCGTCCTCAAGCCACTGTACGTCGTGTCGCACGCAAAGAGCTTGTCACTGGCAGTCAGATACTTCTTGGCCTCCTCCAGCGACTCCATCAAGTTCTCCTCGTACGACAACTCGGCGGGTGGACGCGTGTTGCCCAGTAGAACCTTGGAGAAGAAGTCCAACACCATCGGGACTTCTTTACCGAGAGCTTGGTGCAAGTTCACCACGTGCAGAGTCTTCAGCAGCTCGAACACACGGGCAAAGTCCTGTTCCTTGTCCTCCACGACCTGCTGCGCCGTCTCCTGGACCTCCTGAGTCTCCTGTTCACCCTCAGGAGTTAATTCCTCTTGCTCTGCGATCGTCTCGCTTTCCTCCTTCTCCTCCACAGGTTTCACGGGAGCTGTGGTCTCTTCCTCGGCCTCCACCGCCTTCTTCTTCTCCATCTCCTCCGTGTAGACCCCAACGAACTGCTCACGGAGCATCTCCAGCTCCGCCACGAGTTTCTCCAGTGTTGATTTGCTGCCCATAAGCTCCAGTTGCTGCGCGTTAGGCTTCTTGCCCTCCTCAAGTTGCGCCAGCTCCAGACTTTTAATCTTCTCGAGCTTCTTACGGTGCGAACGAATGCGTTTGTACAGAACGCTCAGATACGGATGATCCACAGTTAAGTTGCTGATCGACTCAGCCTCGGTCAGCTCTTGGGCTGCAGCAACAGCAGCAACCACCGCCTTGACCTTAGTCTTCGATTTCTTCGTCTTCTTTTGCGCGGCCGTGGCGGCCTTCACAGAGGGAGCTACAGACTCGGAGTTGGACGCAACAGCAGCGACGGACTCGCTCTTGTCGACGCTCAAAGATTCAGTAGACATGGTGCTTTCTGTGCTGCAGGAAGACGCCGCGAAGTCGCCGACTCTCGAGTTTAATGTCGCCCGTGACGCGTTTCGAGAAATGAGGCGTGGGAAAATCCTAACTCACATAAACGATGTGCGCAACACCAGGTGCAACTTCAAGTTCTTGAAAATGATGTTTTTAACATTATGTGCAACTTTACACAGCCTCCGTGATCTCGTCCACTATAACCTCGTCCACTTTGATCCCGAACGTGCCGTCGCCAATAACGACAGTCTCCAGTGTCGTAGTGGACGTCGGAAGACCACTGGAAGTGGACCCAACAGTTCTCGATTTGTCGTCAGCGACAGATTCCTGATGACTCACCGGTTCGTCTACAGGTGCAACTTCAACTTGGTCTTCCACCTCCGGTATCAGCCTCGCCAGCGTCTCCTCGTCAGCAGCAACCTCTGCGTCCTTCGTAGCTGCAACAGCCGCCTCCGTCTCTTCATCGTGTGGCGTCCGCTGTTCAGTCGTCTGCTCTGCCTCTCCATCACTTGCCACAGTCTCTTCTTGACCTTCATCAGCTAAATCTTCAGCTGTGGGCTGCTCTTCTTGCTCGCTCTCACCGACAGGCATCTCGACGGCGACATCCACTGGCAACAGACCCAATTGCTCCTTCAAATGTGGACACACCGCGTCGATAACCGCACACGTCTCGTCGAACAGCGTCTCGCTGCTTCCCTCCGTGCTCACCCGCTCCAGAACGTCCTCGGCCTTCAGCACCAGCAGTAAATTGTACAGCGACTGCAACGTCGTTTCGAACACGACACTGCTCTGCTGGGATCGCATCGTAGGCGAACTAGACGCCACCAGCTTCTTGGCCAGACGACGCAGCACCTGGAGCCACAACTCCGGGAAGTCCCGCAGCTCCATCAACACGGTCAAGTTGTGCAGGAACGTCTTGGACAAGAGCGTGACGCTGTACAACGGGGCGTCACGCGCCATCTTGACGGTGATATCGTTCACCTGGTCGTCAAACGCAAAAATGATCTCGTCGAAGCATTTCTTCCACGTGTCCTTGGCGACCGGCACTCCAGGAAGCAACAGCGAGTTGCGTAGACAGTCCCACGCAGTCTTGGCCACTGGCGGTCTGTCGTCGTTCAGATACTGGAGCATCACGCGCATCACTTGCAGCCACGACCTGCCATCCATCTTGTACGTGTTGTCACTATTGGCCAGTCCTTGGAGCAGCTTCAAGGCGTCCACAGCGTACGACGTTGGGTGGCGAATAAACCCGAAGCACAGAGACATCCACGGCGTAAAGTTGTCGTCCTTCAAGTGTCCTCCTTCAGCCAGTACAAGGACGCTCTCCCAGCACGCTGACCTGCTGTTAATATACTCGACCACGTTCTCTAGAATGCCCAGCAGCACTTGCCAGTCGTGGAAATCGTTCATGTACACCAAGTTGGCCTTCAACAGCATCGTGATGCCTGACGCCAGTCGGTCACTCAACGCCTTGTACATGTCCTTATCCATCGTCAACAGCAACTCCAGTGTAGCCATCAGCTTCGGTCGCACTTTTTCATCATGGAAGAGTCGGATACTCACACGCAAGATGTGCACAACCACGCGCTCTACAAGCCCCTGCATGTGCAGCTCTCGCAACGGCGTCGACAAGATGCGCTTGGCGTACAGATGGAAGGAATCCCACAAGTTCAGCTGCAAGATGCGATGCGAGTTGACCAAGATGATGTCCACACTCAATTCCAGCACCAGGATGGCGTTCTCCTGCATCATCGCGTCCACGCCCGAGTCCGACGCCTGCATGATGCACTTGAACGGGTCACGACACGAGATCAGCGTCTCCAGAAGACTCGTCAGCGCCTTCTCCTGCAGCTTCCGCGTCAGTCTCAGCCAGTTTTCCTTCTCCAAGATGCCGCCGCCCAGCTCCATCACTTCCTCCCGCAGCATCTGGTTCACTAGCGAGAAACTCTCGTCAATCTTCTCCTGTTCGGCCCAGAGATAAGACGACAGCGAGTCCCAGAAAGACCCGCTATTGACACTCTGTGCGTGGCTCCCATAGGCGGTGCCTTGACTAGCTTGCGTCATACTCTTCATACGACTCCGAATCGCAGCTTGACGCTCCGCTTGACGTCGAGAGCGCTCACGAGTCTTCCCCGACAGTCCCGTTGCACCTTGATTACGTCCAGGAGACATCTTGGGCGGAGACGGGACGTGAGACGATGCCCCTCCCTGCATCGGAGGCAACGGCACTCCCCGTGAGTCCACAAAGTCATCGATCTCCACCAGCGACGTGGGGACAGCATCCAGCTCGTTGAACATGAGCATACACTCCACCACACTGGCCCATCCTTTGCGGAAACACTCGCTCTTGTTTTGTACGAACTGGAAGAGCAGCTTCAGCGCTAGCAGAGCACGACGCGTCTTCGCTCCTTGCACCAGGTCCTCGTCTATCGAGCCGCCAGACGGCCGCGTGTCTGCCAGCACCTCAACTTCCGATCCGTCATCCTGTCGACGCACAATCCGCTCGCCAATCGTCTCAGCGGACAGCTGCTCCGGCACGGAAGACGACGACGACGACTGCGTCAGCACACTGTTCGATCTCGGAGGCACGTACACCTTCTCTCCACTCATAATCCCATGCGCGAACGTCAAGAAGTACGACGCCAGCGCTCCCATGATCTTGTTGAACTCGTCGCTCATGTCGTAGTACAACATGATCTTGGCGCAGTTGCTCAGTCCTTCCAACGCGCGCTCCATGTTGTGCAGGTCGCACGTCTTCTCGAAGGCCAGTAAAATGCTCTTGATTGTGCTCTCCGAGATCAAATTGAACATGTCCTTCTCGAACAGGCCAGCTCGCAGCTTCCAAGATGCTCGGGTGGAACGTGAAGCTGTCGCCGACCACGTTCTCGAGCTGCTCCAGCACGCCGTCCCCATTGCGTCGAGAAGCGATCCACCGTCGACGAAGGCGCCTCCATGAAGTCGGACACGTCGTGCTGCATCTGGATCTCCTTCTCTAGAATATTATAATACAGATCCGTCAGATATTCCGTCGGCAGATCCTCCGCGGCGTTGATGCCGCGATTGTTGCGGATAAACTCCTCGATAGTCATCTTCTTGGCGATGTGGTCCGAATGCAAGTCCGTGTTCAGCATAATGATACTGAACGCCAATACGAAGGCCGCATCGGCGTCTGCAAGAGGGCCGGACGAGCCTGCTTGGAGGTAAAACTGCTTCGAGAACGCTTCCATCATGCGGTCGATCTTCTGCGCTTCCCCCGGCAGACGGAACTTGGCCAGAAACATGCGCAACGCCTCGTCCAGCGACGGCGCCGAGCGGAAGTCAAACATGGCTACATACGCGTCTCTCGCTGCGGCATTAAACGGGTACTTTTCGATCGGTCCGTCGCCAATGTAGTCGCCGATCAGCGTCTTGTTGAGACCAGGTGTATACAGCAGGAAGGACGCCACCGATTCGGGCGTCAACTTGTCCGGTAAGAGTCCGATCTGCTGCGAGAAGGCCATCCAGTTCTTCTGGTCGGTATTGAACTTCTCGGCAGCTAAGGCGTAGCGTTTCTTGATGCTCTTGCGTTGCTGCAACACCTCAGCGGTGCGTTCTCGGGCAGTGTGTAGCCATGCGAGTTGATCTGCCGGGTTGTCTGCTTCGCTCTGCTCCGAATCCGAGTCGCTTTCGCTTCCTGACATAACGAGATGCATGAGATCTCGGACCGAAGACATGGGCGAGATGTCGTCCCTCGGGAACGCGTCCGACGAGCAGTCGGTACGCGGAGACGCCCCCGCAGTGAACCGTGCCAGATCCGAACCTTTCAAACTTAATACTCCTGCGTTCCCCCCGAAAGTCCTGGAGCCTGACGTCTTCGCGGGCGTGTTCAAAGGACAGCGACGAGCGATCGACTCGATCACGGCCAGCAATCCCTCGAGACACAGCAGCGTCAGTGCGTTGAGATTGCCGTCGGGACTGGACATGGACTGGCAGTTCTTGGCCAGAGACTTGCACAATACTTCGAACAAATTGGTGCAGTGGACGTCGCAGTCGTAATTGATGTACAGGTCCAGCATCAGCGCCGGCTCGCGACAGAACTCCACCAAGGACTCGAGCGCCAGTTCCTTCTGCTCGTCGGAACACGACGGCGAGTCGATGATGCGCATGTGGACACTAGTGAAGAACACTTCCAGCTGCACCTTGAGATGGTCCTTGATCGAGTTAAACAGGTTGAACACCACACGAAGCGTGAGCGACAAGATGCCCAGCTCCTCCGTTTCGGAGTTCTGCAGCAAGAACTTGGACAAATCTCCTTGTAGCACGGACACTAAGCACAGATGGCTACCCAGTCCCGTCCCGGCTGTCTCCAGCACCACATTGATCAATCTCAGTCCCAAGACGCACGTCATCTCCTCGTTCTCTGTAGGCGAGATGAGGCCCGAGATAAAGTGCAGAATCCGCTCTAATAGCGGGACTCCGTACGGTTTGTCTGCTGCTTTGGTGGCGTCAGACGTCGGCCCCATCTGGACTGGAGACTGCGGCTCGTCAATGTCCAGACTCGCGTCGTATTCGGGTCTTGTCGGCTCCTTCTCGTCCTGTTTCGCGTCATTCTGCGTCTGTGACGACATGGGCGTCATCGGTTCACTGGGTTTCCGTTGTGGCTCCAAGTCGTCGATGCGATCGAAGACTGTAAGCACCAAATGCGACAACGTATTGTCGGCTGACCTGCATAAGTGCATAGAAGATCGGGGTTGGCAGCGGATACTGTAGCATAACTGCAGCATCTTCCACAGATTATCCCCTGAAATCAAATGCCCAGCATCGCAACGAACACAGTACTCCACCAGCTCCAGCAGCTTCATCAACACGGCCTCGTCGTCTGCTCGATGAGTCTCCTCGAATCTACAGCGAGACACGCACACGGCGATGCGGTTGATGGCTACATCTGCGCGTAAGGACTCGCAGGTTATGAGCCCATACAGTAGGAATTTGTTGATGGCGGAGATGGCGGCGCCCGTGATGAAGCCACTTGTGCGCTCGGACTCAATGACCATCACGAACGGTAAGAGATACGTGACGGTGTCCACGTCAGAGAGGTCCGTCACTGACTGCAGCTCGTAGTGGAGCTGCTTGAAGGCGCGCATCATTGGCGACTGCGTGGACGCCGGGATCTCCTGTGTGAAGCGATCCACAGATGCCCAGCGTGCGTTCACGCGCATCATCGAGAGTACATTGTGGATCTCGCCTTTGACGCAGTTCATGGCGGCAGAGCCGAAGACTGTGAGAGGCGATTCGATGTAGAAGACGGAGGTGCGTGCAGTGCTGGATCGGTACGGGCCGGAGACGAGGTGTCGCCTTGTGATTCGGAATGACGTGTCGGAATTATGATGGATGAGGTTGGAGGAAGGTTGCATGAAGATTGTCTATTTTCGGGTGCTCCCCGCTTTTTAAATTTCGGATTCGATATTTAAATATAAGAGGATTTCTTTTGAAGAATTATTTTTGTGTAGCGACGAATGTACAAAGAAAATTACGTTTTTTGGATCAATAAAAACCCTATGAGCCGATTTGATTGAGGTCATCAAGTAAAGCCAGGAGTTAGGAGGAAACTTCTTTACAATGCACTTTTTTGAAATGATTAAACAGGATAGTATTATGTTTGCTCAGTCTGGCGGATCTAACACATCGAATTCAGCGACAAGATATCGGACTCGGCTCCTGTAACGATAGTCATTTCCGCACTTACCCAATGTAAAGCTATGAGACAGTCTTGGTGAGATTTCTCGCGGGTTGCGGATTAAAACAACGAAAAAAACGGATTAACCCCGCGTACCAGTTTTCAAAAGCAATCTTTTTCGTTTTGATTGTTTTTTGGGTTGCAAACACCCCATAACTCATGTGCATACTGAATGCAGAATAAAACTCCGTCATGTCGGTGCGATGTGGCCAGTGGTGGCGGTATTATGAAGAGCCGTGGCTGATCAAGCCTTCCTGCTGCTGAGATAGCACCATAGATGCCCAAGCGTTCGTTATGAGCTGTCGGTGCTTCCCATATTCATAATATTCAAAACAATTCTTTGGATACGTACTATAAATGATTCTGATAGATGTCGCTTAAGCTCAAGACGTGAGGGTGAAAAGTCAGGCCGCTTGAGTGCTAAGCGAAACACGGTTCACTCTCTGGTGTCACCATTGGCACCCAGTTAGCTCATGAGTTTAATGTTACGCGTAGAATCCGAAATGAAGATGTACGGGGGAGATCATGTGTATTTAATCCACTCTCAATTAATTTTGTGGCATGCCATATTTAAGTAAAAACAATTAGGATAACACCGCAAATGCGACCAAGTTTGACCAGCCGCTATCAAGTTTGCATTGGCGCAAGTGCACCGGTATGTTACTCTTTCATTAGCTGCTGACTTGCATTCATCTTCTTCGACTTCCGTAATGTACATCATGTAAACGAATTACTGTGTGCGTAGCTCAAGGTGTAGATGTAGAATACATGCACATGAAGAGTAACTCGTTTAAAACGTTCTTACAGCTTGCAATTCAAGATTCTTGTGATTCATAGTTTGAATATAAGTTACTTGCCAACATTGGCTACGTACGATGGCAACTTGTCATCTTCATAATGATGGTGAGCACGTACTGTGTCCTACTTCAACCTCGCCCGAAGTTCTGAGTCAGAGCTTCTGACTCACCGACTGTGCGTCACAGTTGGTATCGCCGTGATGGAGACAGTGATAGCCGACGTAGGCTGCCTCGAGCCGCTCGCACCTGCAGTGGTAACTCAAGGAGGCGAGGTCGTTGAGGCGACACCGACGTCGCCGCCAGTTGAGCCAGAATTCCAGCAGCGGTTGAACCAAGATGCGCATCGGCGATGGAGGGCCAACACCTCCGTCGAGTTTCTAAATAAGGTCAGCAACATCGACATTCCGGACACGCGTACTGAGGACCGGACGGTGCTTTATGTGCTGGAGGTGCATCTAAGTCGCCACTCCGTCTTAAAGGTAGAACGGCGCTTTACGGAGTTCGAGGGGCTACGTCAAGGCATCCAAAGCGCCGTGAGCATCCTACCCCCGTGCACGTGTCAGTACTGCTTGGATTTCCTGGTGTACGTTCGGTTCAATTTGGCCCAGCCACGTGGCTTTGTCAAGCTAACCGCGGGGATCGAGAAGCGCAAGAAGATCTTGGCCCAATTCATTGGCTACATGGTGGCAATGGGCAGGCGACGAGTAGAGAAGGTCGGCAAACGCGAGTGTGAAGCGCAGCTGCTCGTCCCAGTCTTGCTGGAAGAATTCCTGTTACGGTAAACGTGAAGACACTTAACAGATTTCCGTTACGGGTAGCTAACTGTTATTCGAGTCCTTAAAAACACTTAACTGAATGTTTGGGTCTTGGTAGGAGATGCGCGCTTGTGCTTGACATGCTGCTTCTGCAGCTTAGTGAGGACCGTATTTGTCACTTTTAGACGCAGCGCTCGTTCGGTAAGTGGCGATTCTGCCAGAATCTCGTCGGCGTTATCTGCAAATGTGTTGAAGAACTGCATGATCTCGTCAATGGGTTTTTCCATCACGTGTTCCTTTGAAAGCTGCAGCAATGCCAGTGCCATGCGAAGCATGATCTTCCAGTTCTTCTCGAACAGAAACACGTCCCAGATGCGATCCAGCGAGTCCTGAGGAAGCACATTCAAGTACAAATACAGTGTCTGGAACCAGCCAACTGCGAACATCTCGATCGGCACCTTCTCACTTGCGAAATGCCCAGCAAGAGCTGGCTCCGTCAGCTCCAACAGTCTCTGCGTCTGGAAGCAATGCACATGCAGAGTGTGCAGTCCAGGAGCGAACATATCGTGCAGCTCGTAGCGTTCAAACAGCGTCACTAGCAGCCAGAAGGTGCTCTCCGCTTCAGCCTTGGTATCAGCAGCAGACCCGCTCTTCTTGACTTTATTCAACACATGAGCAGCGATGTAATCCATTCCTTGGCAGTACCCAACAGCTGGGAATCGACCGGCCAAGGCGTGTAAGATCTCACTCAGCTGCGTGGTCAAGTCTTCCTCAGATACATGGTCTTTGTGGTTCGCTGCACGTTTGTGGGGTGCTACACGGCCATACGTACGACGCACATCCGTCAGAATCGACTCTGTTGCGTCACCTTTCGAGATGGCCATCTGCAGATACGTATCGTAGTCCAGCTCAGCAGTGTCACGAGTTTTACGGACGTTTGCAGATTTCTCCCAGTACGCAAACCGGAGACTAGACGGCAATTGTCCGTAGCGCACGCAGAACTTCTCTAATCTTCGCTCGGATGCGATGAAATCTCGACACGCTTTGTTCACACAGGACACTCGCGCTAGTACAGGTAGATCTCCACAGTACAGCAAAATGTTGCCTAGAATATAAGGTGTGGCAAGGCATTGATCACCTGGCGCAACTGGTGCAACTGGTTCATTCTCAGTTGACTGGACACTCGAGTTGCTGATCGTGCGCGCTGCATACCCAAATCGACGTTAGAAATGTACAATGAACCCATAATCTAGTACCAACTTACTCATTCTTAACAGCCCCATTGTTTTCGACGGTGAGTCGGAGCTTGGATTCCCAGTTTTGTACTTGTGTAAAAAGAGACAGCTGGCACTTTTGGGGTCATCCACATACCCCAGCGCATCCACTGTGGTGTCTCCGAGATAAATGTCGGTCATGACATTGAGTCCCATCGTGTGGATCCTCTCGGCCACAGGTCCAGCCGCCGCCAGCTTGGTCTTCAACATACTCCAGCCCTGGGTCGATCCTTCTTTCATTTTACTGGCCGCTGTCGTCAAACCTGCAGTAGCCGACGTCTTGGCCTTCACAATTGTCGGCTGGTACTTCTCCAACCTATGCAAGAAGATGTAGCCATTTCATTTAGCACCCACACAGATCAGAAATAGGTCACTATTGGACCTACTTTTTGCTGGTCATGTCCTTCATATTCAGCAGTTGCGGTCCCAGTGTCTTCTTGGCCGTAGCCGCTCGATCTTTCATGAGACCAAAGGCACCGGCTAGACCGTGAGCGCTTGCCCCATTGCCTGTCGCTGTGGGAGCGTCACCTGCGTCTTCGTCGCTCGCAGGGTCCAGCGGTTTGAGCACTGGAGCTGCAGGCGGCAGTTTCTCGGCGGGTTCTTCGCCTCCGGAGCTCGAAGCGGACGACGACGAGTCAGGTGATGTGGCTGCAGGAGCAGGGGCTAAAGGAAGATCCTCCAGGTGCGAGGCGGGGGTGGCCGACGTCTCCATCGCACGGAACGGAATAAAGTGGCGTGATGCCAGACTCAGGACTCAGGAAAACCGCCGAGCTTTTACTTAATGACTATCGGCTATAATTGCGCAGGATTTGCATGATAAATAGGGCAGGGCGGACCATGGGTTAACACACCGAGTTTGCACTGGACTCTCCGCGATAACTTCCTGACCTCTGCACTCGTAGAGAAGAATTAAATGGAACAATATGTAGCTGAAGTCTTTCTCCTGTTGCTGAGATGGGCTTGCTCTCTACACGTTTGACTTTCCTCTTGTCGGTCGCACTGTACGAATGATCTTGCTTGAAGTCGCATTTAAATTATTTTAGGCTTCTGTGTTTGCTCTCTACGTTGATGTCCATCAGACCTCGTCTCTTGCCAAGCTGGAAACATCTATTGAACGTTCACCATATTTCTTTCATCGAGAAAGATTGTCTATACATCTCTCGCAGCTGCAACCATCTCAACCAACTTCGGCATTTGCGCTTGTGACTCCACCGCCAACAATGCAAACACTCACAACATTCCTCACGGCGTTACTATTCATACCCGGGGTCATCGTCAACGCTGAAAATTGCACTTCTCAGGCAGTCAGCGACGTTCTCCAGCCGATGAGATCAGACCCAACATACACCACTTGCCAGTCCGACAGCAACTAATACACGCTGCAGTCGCTTGTGAGTCCCTCGACCAAACAGACCCGGGCATTCTGTTCAAGTTCTGCATGCCAGGCTCTGCTAAGTAGCACACTGTCTTCGGACCTAGTGCCCGACTGCAACGTGGCCATTGACTCGCATACTTTCAGTCTGACGGATGCAATAGTCATGGTGAATTCCAAGTGTGTGGGTCCATTGCAACTTCAAGAGCGCGTTGTCGATAAGGGCGACGTCCACAGCAAGGCGCAGCATATTTCAAGCCACGTTGCAAGTGCATTAGGTCATTCGGCCCCAATGGATGACGTCGGTCAACTCGCAGGAACTCTTCTTTTCCTACTGCGCCAATAGAGCAAATTGAAGTTGTCCCCAGAAGTATTTCCCATCTGTTCTGTGCAAATATTAACAAGCTTCACTGTACACATGAACCGAAATCTTACCAAATCATCTTTTTTCTACTTTGTTTTTAACCAATCCTCATCTCGCTCTATTAATATGCCAAGCCAGCAGATCACGGTCACTTGTCAGCTGCCAGCACCAGCACCATGCCGCCTCACCAGACCCCCGAAGACGCCGATATCTCGAGCTCCAAGCAGCGTGTGGACCTCATTATCTTCGCGTCCCACGTGATCCCCGTGATTCCGCGCAACGTGGTTCTTTCGGACCATGCAATTGTCATTGATAACTCGCGAATCGTGGCTCTACTGCCTCGTGACGAGGCGCAAAAGCTCTTCATCGGCACAGAGGAGCGTCATCTTTCCAACCACATCGTCACTCCAGGACTTGTGAATCTGCATACGCACTCGGCCATGACGCTACTGCGTGGCCTGGCAGACGACAAGCCGCTGTGTGACTGGCTCATGCAGGATATTTGGCCCACTGAAGGCGCATTTGTTGGCCCGGACTTCATCAAGACCGGCATGACCCATGCCGTGGCCGAGATGCTACGCTGCGGCACTACTTGCTGTAATGACATGTACTTCTTCCCTGATCAGATATGCGAGGTATTGGAGACTACGGGCTTCCGTGGGGCAGTGGGGCAGGTGGTCATGGAGTTCCCAGGCCCGTACGGCTCTGGAGCCGACGACTATTTCAACAAGGCCAAGCCGAACCTTGAGAAGTACGCACCTGGTTGCCACGACCTCATCACAGTGACGATGGCGCCTCATGCTCCGTACACCGTCTCAGACAAGAGTCTGCGACAGGCGGACGCGCTGGCCAGAGAGCACAAGGCTCGTGTGCACATTCATCTGCACGAGACGGCGAGCGAATGCAACGACAGTGAACAACTGAACCGCCAGTCGATGAGTTGCCACCAGAGCGACCAGAAGCTGCGTCCATTGGCTAATTTGAAGCGCATGGGTTTGTTGTCTGAGCACCTCATCTGTGCGCACATGACGCAACTCACAGCCGAGGAGATCGAGGACGTCGCGGAGGCTGGAGCCCACGTGGCTCACTGTCCGTCGTCCAACCTCAAGTTGGCGTCTGGTATCGCTCCTATCACAGCGATGATTGAGCGCGGAGTGAACGTCGGTATCGGCACGGACGGAGCGGCCAGCAACAACTCGCTCGACATGTTTGGGGAGATGAAGCTGGCTGCGATCTTGGCCAAGGCGCAGACGTTGAAGAGCTCCAGTGTGCCTGCAGTTGAGGCACTGCAGATGGCTACGCTCAACGGTGCTCGTGCCCTTGGACTCGAGAAGGACATCGGATCGATTGAAGTGGGGAAGCGCGCAGATGTGATCGCCGTCGAGTGCGACAGTATCGAGATGATCCCCATGTACAGCGCTATCAGCCACATCGTGTATGTGGCTGGACGCGAGCACGTCTCGGACGTCTGGATCAATGGCAAGCACTTGCTGGCTAACCATAAGCTGACGACTATCGACGAACAAGACGTCAAGAAGAGTGTGCGTGAGTGGGCCGCCAAGATCTGCGCACACCGCGAGCAGAAGACTGAACAACTCTAACAAATGTGTAAATACAGGGGGGGTTGAGGCTGTAAATGTAAATTTAGAGTAGCAGATCTAGACCCGCAGCAGAGCCAGCACAAGCTCGTCCATGGGGATGGAATGTGCGACGACATCGACGATGTTGCCTGCTATACGGCCGACTGTACCTTCACCTTCATCTTCGTCAACGACGCGCTCTTCGAGGGTCTCGGAGCACTTCGAGGCGATGGTTACAGCATCCGTAAGGTTTAGGGAGTGAACACCAATGACCACGTCACAGTGAGGTAGTAGACCCGACGTCAACGTGGCTTTGAGCAGCGCTTGGCACGCAGAGCTAGCACAAAACCCTTCAGTCTGGTTGAGGGACAGGTTCTCAAACGATAGTAGCGAGTAGTTGCTGTCGGTCTGGCACGTGGCGAAGTTTGGGTCCGATGCAACAGGCTCCAACACTGCGTAGATCGTATGAACAGAGCAGTTTTCAGCTTTAACCAGGATAGTCGACATGACCAGCAGTAAAGTTGTCAGATACAGCATAAGTGAAGTAGTTGAGGTGAGTCGAGCGGGTGAAACTGGACAATGAACACGATGTTGCCGCGATCAGAGAGATCTGGAGGAATCAGCGGTATTGTCATGAAGGCCAGAGCGTCCCACCCCACCCTAGATGACACGTGCTATTATGTTTGATTCCAAATGCAATGGGTTGATAGATAACCTTGCCTAGCTACCGTGTTATTCCCTGATCTCCCCTGCAACGCACAGAGCGATGAGGTCTTCAATCGCAGCGACCATCATCGTCATGGCTACAGTCTGCTGCACTGTAATGTCGACGTTCACTGTCCTCATGTACACGGACAGCAAGTTCGATGATTACGTTGGCCAAGTTCGTTTCGATTCCACCGATCGCTGTTACCCGCTGTGCACCGACAGCCTCGCTGTAGCTGCTTTTCTATGGGATGGAGAGCCTCGAGGGACGCAACTTGTGGTCTTTGAAGATATCGAGTGTCGAGGCAGATACGTCGCTGGAGACAAGAAATATGACGCCGAGTTCTCTGTCGTTGCGTCGGCTCGTAAAGTTCGGTCGTTCATCTTGTCAACTACTGGGAGTTTAACGCCAACACGGGGCATTGTCCACTCATGCGACGAGAAGAGCGACATTGTGTACAAAACGTTCAACGACACGGCATCGGTGATGTGACGAGGCATAAAAAAAATCTTCGCTTTCGTAGCCAGCACTCAGAAATAAAGACTGAAGTAAAAGGAAACATGTTCCGGTAGTTGTGCAGTGCCAGTAAGCGTGTGTGATAAAATGTACTTGAAGTAACTACACAGCACCGCGAGATCATTCTTAAACGTTAGATGCGGTGCTTTTACAATATTTCCGACTTGAGATTTGTATGGCACCAAGAGCTGATAATCGAGGACCGGGTCGCAGCCACAAGGATAAAAAGTCGAATCAAGAACTGACGATAATTACAGCCAATCTTTGCCCACTAGCAAGATGCAGTGCCACTGCATCTTGCTACAACCGAGGTATCATCCAATGTGGATTTGCATTACTCTTCATCGTCACTCACCATATCCACCAGCACTTTCATGAAGTTATCGGGATCGGAGAAGCTCGGCACTTGCCACCTAAGCGCATTTTCTGGCTGCAAGAGTTCACTGGTGTTGCAAAGACCGTCTTCCTCGAAACCCGCGAGCTCCGGACGCAGCAACAAGTCCATCTTGAACGATTTGTCCATGCTCCCGGTACTAGCCTGTGAGTTAGCCTCATTTCGTTCTTCGTCACTGTCGTCGTTGTCTCGAGCACTGGACGATACAGTGCTGCTAGAAGATCGACGTGGCTCGTATCTGAACGCGTGCATCAATTTCCGTAATTTGGCCGAATGCGCTTCGACTCGCTTGCTGGCTTTCGCTCGCGCCTCTGCCGCCACTTGCGACCGCGCCTTTTCGTCCTCCATCATGTTTTCCCACTCTTCTTCTCGAAGTCGTATCTGCAAAGCTCGTTCTGCTTCTCGCTGCCGCTTGAGTCGCTCTTTCTCGTCCGCGAGCTCAAGTTCTCGTCGCTTCTGTCGCGTTTGTGCAGTCTCCTCAAGCACAGCGGCGAGTTCCATCTCCAACGAAGCCTTCGTAGCCGCCAGACGAGCAACTTTAGAGCGATGAACAGCATTATGCTCTGCAACTTTTTCCAATTTCAAACGAACACGTTCACGTTTTTTGTACTTTTCAATGTAACGTTGCTTTACGTGCATCTCCAACGACATCTAACTCCCCCCAAAATGACAAAAAATGGGTAAGTTTCTCCGGAATTTCACACTAGAAAAGCTATCCCCTTACCTTTTCCCGAAGTTGAGCTTCTAGCGCAATCATGAATTCACTCGCGTGTTTCTCGGTCTCGTTCATATCGTTAGAATCGGCTGTCCAAACTGATTCCGTATCGTTAGAAAGCGTTGAACGTGCGGTTGATATCGTCGATATATTATGTCTGAAAGATCTCGCGCGTACTGCTTCAATCTTCACCATTTGCTCTTGCAGTCGACACGCAGCTTCTTGGCGCTCAAGTTCTCGTTCGCGTTCAAGCTGCAGCTTTTCCTGTTGAATACGCTTCGCTCGCTCTTGAGCCAGAGTTAGCGCCGCTGCGACCTTCTCAGCGTTTGCTAGAGCTGTAGCCTTGAGATCCGGTCGCTCTTCTTCCTGGTTATTAGAGCGTTTTTTCTTGCGTGAACGTTTGTGATGTTTCTGGTGTGGTGGACGTGGTTTCCGGTGTTTTTCAGGCGCTTCAGAAGTGGGTTGAGACGCCCGATCTTCGTCTCTGGTGCTTAGGGCTCTGCTGCTAAGAGAAGACGACGAGCGCCACGACACTAACTCGTCACTTGGGAGAATCCCATTGTCAGTTTTCGGTACTGTCGGTCTCGAGGGAATGGACGAGCTATTAGAGGATCCAGCTCCCGTGTTTTGGGGCTGAAGTGAGGTGAGAATCGCGTCGATATCATCTTGCCAGCTCCGAGACTGCGTCGGTTCTGTAGTAGTCTTATTCACTGATCGACGTCGACGGATCGAGTTCTTACGTCGTGGCTTGGAGACGGGATTCGAATTTGGAGACCCTCTATCGGTCAAATGCGATGGGATCCTGTGAACTGGAGGAGGGGGGTAGAAGTGAGGCAAAGAAGAACGCGTCGACGCGTGCACAACCTGAGTCAAAGTGTCCTGGATCTGAGCCTCCTGCTCTGCGAAGAAGCGTCCGATCTTCTCGATCAGGTCCGCCATTCTCAATCTGGTGTCTTAGTTTGGCTGGGGGGTTTGTCGTTTGACCACAACCCGTCGGTTCTCCTTCCATAGATAGAGCACACTGTCTTATGTCATTTGGCCACCAGCTGATCACTAATGGAGCCCCGTAACGCGTTGTTCCATCGCTCGTACTTCCTCCAAGATCTTCTTCTGGGCCACTAGCGTCTCCTGTGCTATCCGCAGCATCAAGTCCAGCTTGGACCTCGAGACGACCACATCTTCGCTTCCACTTTCCGTCCCGGACATGACGGAAGAGTACGTCTCGGCCGCTGATAAGTCCCCAGCCGAGACGCCTCCGTCCGTGCCTGTGTCGCCCATAATCGACGACGAATCCGACAGAATTGGCACAGAAGTGTCTGTCATCACTGCTCTCGAGTGCTCACTGCCCGAACTGGAGCCCAGAGCGTCGTACTCTAACGGGTCTCGTTGTTGTCCGTGTCGTACGTGCTCTAATTCGTCGATTAGCGCTCGGATCTCCATCTGCTCCTTGTGCTGCTTCTTCGTAAGTGCTCTACTCAACGAATCACCTTCTACTCAGCTTTTCTCACTCAATAAGTATCCAAAGTGCACTCGAGAACTTACCTTTGACGTCTAGAGCTATTTGCTCGGTTCTGTTTGGCCACTTCACTACGTCGATTGCGTACCATCTTGAGAAATGCCGTATAGTGGAGTCGGGGCTCGTTTAAATTGCCTCCTAGGTAGTAAAACTCGTCGTATCCTTGCTCGAGCAACTGTTCTGTCGTCGTCCGGTCTGGAATTTTGTTAAACTGCTTGGCGCAGAGTACATACTTTCTGAGTAGGATCAGCTGAATGCCTTTGCCGATTTTGTGGCGTTTCTGGGCGCCAGATCGATGCGACTGAGACTGCGAGGTGGCCTGGGAAGCGTCGTAATCGGCGGCGTCTTGCTCCGTCAATCTATGGTCATCTCCGCTGCTTTCTTGCAGAGAAGTAGAGGGGGCATGGAGGCGTAAGATCGTTTGGTCATCGGTGGATTCGTCGTCGCCGTCATGGCCAGGAGGCGGCAGCACGTCGACGTTTAGCATATTGGAAAGGTGGTGTCCACTGGCTACTTACGCGATCAGATTGTCTGAGTCTGAGGAAAACCTGATTCCAAGAATGTATTGAAGTAAGTTATATTGCGTCTTCTAGCGACAGAATGGGCGCACTAGCTCGCTATTGTTGCAGGTGCAGAGAGACGAACTAGAGGAAGTGAAACGTACGAGAGTGAACGCGAAGAGGAAGACGAGCAGGCGAGGCGTGGACATCATGGAAGGGGTAGATATGTCTGAAGGGGGAATAATAGGTAATGAAGCAGGCAGAGTGGGTGAGTGTGCTGGTAGAATCGAGGGGCAAAAAGAGAAAACGTTAAGCTGATGTGAAAAGCATGTGCGTTCCATTAACTGTGGGTGTTATAAAGGGGTTACGACTAGCTATGAGCGGCTAAATATTGTTACGTTAGCCTCCGCCTTGAAAGTGAGTTAGATACGACAAAAGAAGCGACAACGATTAACCTTGCATGAAGTTGAGAAGATATTTTGTGCTTTGCCGCTCTGCGAGATCAAAATCGTTTCGTCGCATTGTAAAGTGGATAGCTGTTTGACTAACGCCGTGTTGTACGTTGTAGCCCCTTTACCATGCAGCTTGGACGATTTATGTAGGCTATTGGCTGTATCAGATATGCTTGGTGTAGAGATGTAGCCAATCAGAGGCAGACTCAGTTTAACTTAGATTCAGTAAGCAACACAGAAAGACAGATGTAGGGCGGCCGTGGAACCTTCTAGAAGGTTCCATCCGCCTGAAATGCGGGGGCGGCACTTCTCGTTTCGCGCGCCCTCCCCCAAGCTAGCGTTTCCTGAAATACTGGTAGCACTTGTTGGTCCCAGCAGCCTGACCAGAAGGAGCCCATGCCAACAATCGCTCATCTACGCGCCGAGATCGATCGGCAGAGCCAAGCAATGACTGACCGCACAAAAGTGCCAAGCCATCTGCCCAAGCTCACGGGCAAGAGGGGGGAAGACGTCCGCGAATGGCTGTTCCAGATCGATAGCGCCTGCCGCATCAATAACATTCTAATTGAAGACACGAGCGCGCGTCTTCCTGGAATCGCCGGATCGTCAATGGAAAAGCCGGCATCCGGATGGTTCCTGCACTGGTCTTTGACAACTCGAGTGGAGGAGCACACGTGGGGGATTTTCCGTGAGCGTGTGCTCCAACACTTTGAGGCGTCGAACTACCAGTCTGTCCTGCGTGAGAAGCTTCAGCGCCTCAAGCAGACAACGGACATCGAGACCTACAGCGGCGAGTATTCAGCCTTGATCTTCAGAGTTGAAGGAATGAGCGTGCTTAACCCAGTACTGTACTACGCGAACGGTCTCAAGCCGCGCACGCGTAGCTACGTCAAGCTCGTGAATTTAGAGATCCTGAGCGACGCAATGGGCCTTGTTGTCAAGTACGAGGTGACACACTTCGTCTACAAGTCGCGCGAACGTCACACTCGCCAAGACAAGCGGAAGTCGTCCACTGATCAAGCGCCGAGTCACGACAAGTCGTTCAAGGGACAAGCGCTCCGTGGTAAAGGGCGTTTCAAGCCGAAGACTAACTCGAAACGAGCCGAAGGTCGTACATGTTTCTAGGCAAGAAACCTGGCCACATCAAGACCAGCTGCTTCCTTTGGAAGAAGGAGAAAGAGAAGCAGGGAAACGGGCAGCCACGTCAGTGAATGAGGGTCCTGTCGTGGGGGAGAACATAGCCGGATCAGTTAAGTTTGAGAATGTCAGCCTTAGCGTTCTGTGCTAAAACTCTCTCGTCTACAAGTCGCATCCACTGTTCTCAGTCGAGGGGGAAATCATCGTTAGTGGTGCAACCATTTCGACCCAAAGGATGTTGTTAGACTGTGGAGCAACCACAATCTACGTGTCCAGACAATGGGTCGAGAAACATCGACGCAAGGCCACGAAGCTCAATGATAAGAACATTCGTGTGAAACTTGGAGACGACCAGATTGTCAAGACGGAACTGGAGGTCCTTCCCCTCGAAATCATAGTGTCTGAGCTGGGCGAGGCATACACTTGTATCGCTGTCGTCTACGCCATACCTGACGAATTTGACTGCATCCTTGGAATTCCATTCATCGAGGATACGCAGCCGCGGATCGACTGGAGAGGTCGATGTATCGAAGGACCGCAAGTGAAGACTCTGCATTAGAAGCGAACAGAAGAGACCAGTGGACCGATCGAGGAAGGCGGACCGGTGATTGCCTCCGGGCTTCGGAGATCTGCCGAGGCGAAAGACCGATCGGCGAAAAGACCCGATTCCCGTCGAGGTGCCGCGCTGGAAACGGATGTGAAGTCCGCGGTTGAAACTGTTTGCGACGCAACGCAGAAAGAGAGCCCAAGAGCTGTTTGCGAACAATTTTAGGAGACGCGTCAGCCGGCAAGGGTTCGGCGGTGAAGGACAACTTGGAATTGTTCAAACGCCAGAACCAACATAAAGTCAGGTTCATTGATCGACTTGGTCTTGATTCTCAGGAACTTTCGTAGTTTCTTGCGAGTGATGAACTTCGTCTGGACACCAGCCTCGTCAACGACACCCATCGTGAACATATTTTCCACGACATTGCCTCTGCCCCCGGTACTGCTGCTATCTCCAGCCTCTCTTTCAGTATGGCTTTTTTTACAGTAAAGGCTTCAAAGAAGCGTTCCAGATTCGCAACACTCCCGATGAATTCATGAAGAATATTGGGAAGCATGATGCCGTTGTCCAACGGAACACTTTGGCGCTGGAGCGTCTTCCAGAACGCCGTGACGTCCTCGCGAGACACGCCAAACGCAATCGCCTCGGGACGAGTTTTCTCATACTCATCCCACATCTCCATGGTAACCAGATTGGGCCGACCAAGATGGTACAGCGCGCAGCGGAACGCATCCATGAAACACGTGCCAGCTTCGGACGCACTAGCATGAACACCGTACCACCCCGTGAAGGTTATCTCAGAACTAGAAGCCTCCCATTCGTCGACATTTTGCATCATGTACCGCGTCGATTCCTTGTCCAGCAACTCTATCCAGACCCAGCTCATCTGCAGCGGACGACCCTTCCACTGAACAAGATAGCAGCGGTACGGAGATACACCTTCGACATCAAGCAAGCGTGTAATCCCAGCCGAGTTCGCAAAGTACCAAGGAGCATCCGGATTGTAGTGGCTGCGATGGTTCGTGGCTGGATGTCTCTCCAAAGCTTTGGGAAGAAGAATGGGATGCCAGTCCGACGTCTCATCGCCACAACGAAGCCGAGCGCGCTTCGATCGTTGGGTGCCCTCCTCATCTTCGTCGTTAAACAATCCCACCTCTTGAAGAGGAACATCCTCAGCAGATACGATATCATCGCCAGCATCATCATCCGCGACATCACCAACAACACCATCTCCACACAACCCTTCGATCGTGACCTCGTAGATGAGTTGCTGGAGCACGGTGGGCGGCGACGACGCATAGGCATCGTGAGGTGTAATTGAAGAGGAACCAACAGGAGACGTAACCGAACGGGGATGCACAAGACTTGAGTTAGGAGCTTCGGGAGCAGCGTTGCTTGGGGGTGGAGCCACAGGAGCCCGTACATGCGACGAGGGAGCGACAGGAGTCCGTACAGGCTACGATGGGACCACAGGAGCCCGTACAGGTGACGGCGGAGCTACAGCACCAGCAGGAGCATCGACCATGGCAGCCGGAACAGCAGGGACTGCAGCAGGAGCAGGCGGCGGCGTCGGCGAGCGAGGCGAGGGAGCGGCGGAAGCCGGGCTAGCAGCAGCAGCAGCAGACGCAGGAGGCACGGCCATCCCCCGGGACGGACCCATCCAAGCCCCAAGTAAACAGGCCCGCACAAGGAAGGGGTGGGTAAACTCGGGGTCGGACTAATCCGACGGGAAACGGCACCTCTGGCCTACCACGCAATTTCGGAAATGGCAAGACTGAGGTGACGCGCACGGCAGAGAGAGGGTGGGTGTATCAGATATGATAGGTGTAGAGTTGTAGCCAACCAGAGGCAGGCTCATTTTAGCTTAGATTTAGTAAGAAATACAGAAAGGCAGATGTAGGGTGACCGTGGAACCTTCTAGAAGGTTCCAGCCGCCTGAGCTGCGGGGGCGGCACCTCTCACTTCGCGCGCCCTCCCCCAAGCTAGTGTCTCCTGAAATAGAGACCCTTGCATGCTGTGCTGGTACAGAGCGATTTGGACTTGAGAAGCGTCTGACACTTCGCGTGTTTAGCGTTGCCTTTCAACGGACTGAGGGCTGCCAGCAGCTTCAAGCGGTTGCACGCTGCCGCCTCGCTGAGAGTCGAGCAACTTACCGTGACCACTAGCAAGACGATGACAAGTTGAGAGAGGAATGACGCCATGGTTGGTGTGCGAAAGTCGTCGGAAACTTGTCGGAAAAATGACCATCCTGTTCTGAGTTAAAGATGGAGCCAGTGCAGACTGCATTGACAACTTCCCATTGAGTGCACCATAAATGTTCTTGCGTGAACAGTTTTTTTAGCTCAAATAACTAACTCGCACCAGATTCTTCGCATGGGTCGAAAAAAACTGCAATCATTTTTTTATTGGGGTTTTCAGTACAAACCTTTATTATTGGGCCGGCTAAAATTTAAAATTGACCCCAACTACCAAATAAAAAGCGCGTATTCTATTGTGAGAAGTGTCCAAATATAGTTTGCATGTTTGATTTTTTTTGAAAGCCTTTTATATGCCAAATAGCGTTACCGGTATCCTAATGAAAGGACCAATTAGACGGACAGGACGAGCAACTGTGTGCTCAACCCCAGTTACCCGTGATGGCAACCCAAAACGTACCTCATGCAACTTCTTCTATATATTATATTGACTCTGTTTATTCCCATAAAATTTAAAAGCCAATTAATAATGGCCCAAAATTTTGGCGTGTCCTATGAAGACCAGATCTGCAGGCAACTACATGTAATATCATTTAGCAACAAACAGCAGACCTCGTATGTGACGACCGAAGAAACTCGTTTTCTGGTCCGGTAGATTCAGCAAAGCACCGCAAGGA